ATTTCAATAATTCGCTTGCGCGTAAGGGTCTTTAGCAGTGGGAGGAAACCGGAGGACCCGGAGAAAACCCACGAGGTTGGACAGGCAACCCTAATCCTTGTCGCGTACAACGGGGGATTCGTAAAAGAACCCTTGATAGTTGGAATTCGATATACGAGTAGGCCTTAGTGGCCCTGTCCGGGCAAAATTTCCCTCATAGCACACTGTATGGCGTATGCCCGTCTTCATTAGCCGAGTATCAGTGTAGGACGTTAAACCCGATTTCATTTTATTTAAAATGACATACTCTTGATTAAGGACTTTGCAAAACCAGAAATATATCAATCGCATATCATTTACACTATAAATTAAGTTTCAAAATATTACATCTTTCACAAGTTAATATTGTAAACTGAGGAACAAAATGTACCACTAGAATACAGAATCATTATGAAAACGGGTTTCTATACGCCTACATTTTAATGTGGACGTATATTGTAATCACCTTTTTCTTCGTTCCGTCGGTCCGTCCACACTTTGTCATCGGAGTTTTCTCAAACATTTAGTAAACTATTCTGAGGCGACGCGGATCGGTATTTCTTTTCGCCTCCTGCAAGAATGCCCACAGTTTCTATCGGACGTTTCGGGAACATTTATTATTATTTGTTTACAATAATAATAATAATATTATACGCCCACATTAAAATGGGGTCGAATACTGTTGTCGCCCCCGTCGGTCGGTCCATCCGTCCGTCCTTTTGTCCGTCGGTCTTGCGTCCACATGCTTTTAGAGGGTAAAGTTAATAATGTTACCCGCACACTGTTAGTTAAATAAATTAAACAAAACTATAATATCAGGAAGTTAAAAAGGCTTTAATAAGAATGGAAAGACATTTATGATACATATAATTTTTGGTTGGGGATGGCTAAGTCAAATTCAGGTATCCGGATTTACGTGGTCCCGGAATGATTTGTGGTCGTCTCTAACTATGTAATAATAAACACTTACAAAACACTTTCTCAAAACGCTGCTAAAAACATTTTCTTCGGAAACGTTTCTTGAGCCAGGATAAAAATATCCATTCTACGTAAAGGCTAAGTAAAAGTAAAACATTTCGTACAAACGCTGACAAAAACACTTCTTGAGCCAGAATAAAAAAATATCCAGTCTACGAGATGTATGGATGTAATGAGACTTATTAATAAACCTAGTCACATAAGGCGAGGCGAAATTCTAAACTAACAGACACAAAATAAATAAAGGAATCAATGCCTCAACTACGCAACATGACAAATGGCTTACAACATGCATTACTATTCTTTTTAAAAATATGCAAAATGAGTCAACAGTTTACATAAGTTTAATACCGCCTAACCCAACTGGGAGACAGCTGCCTTTTTCAAGACCTGGCAATATCCCATCTCGAAATATACCACCTCTCCTTCTAATTGATCTTCTACTGTCAGGTTTATTATGGTCATGTGTGTAATGGTAGGGGGGGAGTAATGTAAATACAGTCATGTGTGTAATGGTGGGGGGTGGTGGATGTAAACACGGTCATTTGTATAACGGTAGGGGAGGAGGGGGTAAGTTAAACACGGTCATGTGTGAAATGGTAAGGGGGATAATGTAAACTGTTTACTATGGTCATGTGTGTAATGGTGTGTGTGTGTGTGGGGGGGGGGGGTAATGTAAACACGGTCATGTGTGTAATGGTGGGGGGGTAATGTAAACACGGTCATGTGTGTAATGGTAGAGGGGGGATAATGTAAACACGGTCACGTGTGTAATGGTAGGGAGGGTAATGTAAACAGCCGTTTACTATGGTCATGTGTGTAATGGTAATATGGGTGGGGGTAATATAAACACGGGAAGACCTTGGTTTTATATGCCAAACAAACCACTAGTCAACACCTTCATATTTGAACGATAGAACAGAGTTATGGATTTACAAATTCCTGAATTTTCGGTTAAGCCAGCGGTTCTCAACCTTTTTTTGATAACGGCACACCTTGGAACACACGAAAAATAGTGGTACACCTGACTAAATATGTATGAAAAATGTCTGAATTTTGCAAAATAAAAACATGGGAAGTCAGACGGAATACAACCCTAGTCATAGACATATAGAATGAATCAAACTAAATGAATAAAAACACAGCTATGAACTTAGCAGTAGACACCATTGACTACTCTATTGGGATCACGTGTTTTCTCATATTTTCTTAGTGTGCCGCTCAAAATTTCGCGGCACACTGGTTGAGAATCACTGGGTTAAACGTACGCAGGTATTCGAGCGCAAAAATTTCTTGTTGCCAAGTTGATTATGAATGAAGACATGCAAAAGACCGACGATAGGCAGATAAAACTCTTACATAATGCATATTTAGGCTAGAATCATTTTGTTTACTAATTCTAGTTTAATTTGTGGCTTTTTGTGTCGACAGTAGACCACGTAGAGGCTTAAATCTCAACACTCGTTTTAATAATCGATTTAAATTTGTGACTGTCATCGTACAAACAAATCACCACCGCGACTTCCTGACATCAAAAGTTATACCTGGTGGAGATGACACGGAAGCCAAGCACCTGTGATTTTAAACGACAGTGTTTGTACTATATTATCACCATTCTGTTTAGGTTAAGTTTGTTTTCTCCATGCTTTACAAAAAGATACACGTGTCATCTATATTGTGTGGGGGGTGGGGGAAGGTATAGGCCTCACTGTTGGCTTGTATTATTCTATCTTTCCAATTATCCTTCTTTATTAGATGACATTTACCTGCTTATCGGACTTTTCTGAAACGTAGGGGAGATTTATTATGTCAAGGACGGACCTCTATTTGTTTTCGGGATAATTGAATTTTTTATATTCCCACATTAAAATGGGGTCGAATATTGTTGTCGCCCCCGTCTGTCGGTCCACCCGTCGGTCTTGCTTTTAGAGGTTAAAGTTAATATCCGATTAGCTTTAAATTTAAATACACAGTGTTTAAGATCTTTACACAAAGAATCCTATTCATTTTCAATTATTTCCGATAATTACTGCCAAAGTTATGAAATATCCTGCGTCCGCTCTAGCGGCTACACCGACCGAATATCCTGAGATGAGGATTCCTATTTATTATTAACGATTTCCGATTATCACTGAAGGAGTTATGGCCCGTGATCGCCATAGAGGCTAAAGATAATATCCGATTGACTTTAAAGATCATGAGACGAAGAGGGCTGTGATTGTCAACGATTTTCGGAGTTATGGTTCTTGATATTAAAGGAGCTAAATCGCTAATATTTGGGACCTAGAAATTGGCACAAATGGGTCGCAACACATATAATAATGTAATATGAATTTATATAAACTGATTTACATTCATTCGTTGCCGTTTTTACTGTAATTTCTAATCAGTTATGTTCGGCGAAATACGCCAGAAGTCTCAGTTGAATGGTAATCTTTAGCGCCTGGTTATTCCAGTCTACACCGATGGTATTTATTGCGCATGCTCTCCAGATAAGAATATAACGTCACCATTTGACATGACTTGTGGAATATGTCTAGCCTCGTTCTTTGAGTCCCTTGTTCCAAATGACGCTGAAACGCATTATGGTACACGATTCGTGTACCAATGGTAAAATGTTTATTTTGTCTTAAATATTGGATATTACAAGCACATCTTTTCCCTGTAAGATCACAACATCAATGTTGATTTAAATTGACAAATAATTTGTGTTTTCAATATCGAAGATTTTGGATGATATTGAGACTTAGCTTCTTTAAATATGTCTCCGTTGGTGTAGGGAGAACTAGAATCCAAACAAATTCCAATGAATTGTGATAATTACTTAAATGGGGCATTCCATGTCAAGGAATGGTATATAGTTGATCTAGAGGCCCCTTGGCAAGCACGTAAAATAATCCTTGACAGTTTCAATTCGAAACGAGAGTAGGTTGTAATGCCGTTGTGCGGACAAAATTTCTCGTGTAGGACACTGTATAGAGTATGCCCGTCTTTTATAATCCTTTCGGTGCAGATCAGTAGAACGTTAAACCCCGTTTCATTTCATATCAATAGTTTGACACATTTGTCTCAGATTTTTTTTTGTGGGGGTGGGGGGTTGGATGGTTAGCACGTGCGCGCTGTATCATAAAGCCTGTGATTGAGTCAACTCACGTGGTTTCGAATCCCCGGTTGTACGTGACAAGGAGTAGGGTCGCCTGTCCAACCTCGTGGGTTTTCTCCGATTTCCTCCCACTGCTAAAGACCCCTACGCGGAAGCGAATTATTGAAATAAAATTAAACCATGTTAGTCCCGAAATGACCTAGTTTGTGTCGAGTGGACGTTAAACCCCATTTCTCTCTATCTCTCTCTCTCTCAGATTTTTTGGGGATCACGATGAGGCAAAGTGGTTAAGACGCTGGCTCGCTAGCCTGGAGGTCGGGTGTTGGAACCCTGCATTGGTCGAGAAAGTTCATCCAGATTTTCCGGCGTGGTTTCCCCATGTCAATGATGCAAGAAAGAGGGCCCGACAAGGACAATTGTCTAGTCGTTCGGATGGGACGAAAAAACGAGGCCCCGTGTAAACATTGGTGTGCACGTAAAAGATCCCTTGGCAGTTTGAATTCGATATAAGAGTAGGTCGTAGCGCCGCTGCCCGGGCAAAATTTCCCTCATAGCACACCGTATGGCGCATGCCCGTCTTCATTAGTCCAGGATAGGAGCAGAGCAGTAGGACGTTAAACCCCATTTCATTTCATTTCTCAGATTTTGGATACAATCTAACCGGCACGATGTATGAGCGTTTAATTCTTGGTTATCCAACATTCCTCATGTAACTGCATAGTCAAACGTCTTCAAAGCACATCGTTCTTGGTTATCCTTTTCTGGAGATGCTGTTTGGCTCGGTACAAAATCAATCGACAATGACCTTGGTATAAGTAAAATGGAAGGATTAAATGATTTTTCCATACAGCACTCCTATAATGAAACATTTTAGTGATATGTATTTACTATTTATTTATAGGCAATAAAATCACACCTACATAACAGATACGAATACTGCAACTACATGGAGGTTGAACCAACACGTAAACCTATTACCTAAGGAAAAAGGAAGTTAATGCGCATAAAGAAAACAGTTTAACAAGAGGAATACTTGTTATGCTGCATGGAGAATAGGCAACAAGCAAACATATTACATAAAGATAACAGATAAACAGGATGGTTGATGAGTCGCCACACGGTGACAGGTTCGTATGTTAAATAGGCTATTCTGGCTAAGTGGGTAAGACGCGGGCGGACTCGCTATCAATCAGGTCGCGTGTTCGATCCCTGCAACCTCGTGGGTTTTCTCCGGGTCCTCCCACTGCTAAAGACCCCTATGCGCATGCGAATTATTAAGGAAAAATTGATCCATGCGTTAGTCCCGAAATGACCTTAGTTTGTGTCGAGTGGACGTTAAACCCCATCTCTCTCTCTCTCTCTCTCTCTCTCTCTCTCTCTCTCTCTCTCTCTTTCTAGATCCCTGCATTGGCCGAGAAAGTTCATGGGGATTTCCAGACGTATTTTCCCCTTGTCAATGGTGTAGTACGGGATGTCTGAAAAGGAGAACTGTCTAGTCGTTCGGATGGGACGAAAAACCGAGGTCCCATGTATACATTGGCGTGCAACGGAAATTTGACCTAAAAATATTTAGATGCAAATGGAAGATTAGCGATAGTAATCTGTGCAAGTTCTGTTCAATAGAAGAAAACTATCATCATTATTTGTACGTTTTCGGTATATATTCCTGCTGAACTGTATTGTATACGAATGGTTATTGTTAAAAAGGTTTTTTTTTTTTAAAAATAAAATAGGAAAAAAAGCAATATATATCTTGGCAGTTAGAATTCGATATAAGAGTAGGCCATAACACACTGCATGGCGTTTTCTCGTCTTCGTTAGCCCAGTCGGAGCAGAACAACCCCATTTCATTTCATTTCATTTCTGTATATTGTGTGCACCAGCTATAGATGGGTGGACAGATTCTAATAACACACAAACTAAACGTTATGAATATTGGAATTACTTTATTATATACCTTATTATTTGCAGATGTATACGAAGCTGTGTTATATATGTTAGAACATTGGTATAATATACATTATGTTATAGGTGGGCGCCACAATAATCTACTACACATACTGTTAAATAGCTATGAGATCTATGACAATACAGATAGACGTGATTTGTTATTACAATGTTTGGTTAAAGTAATTGATGCTGATCTAGACATCAACATGGAAAAGGAGCATATAAACTTAGCGGCTAGAAGAGGGTGGTATGAAGAGGTGTTATATATGTTAGAACATGGTTTTAATAAACATTATGTTGATGAGCACCATGACAGTCTACTACGCATACTTTTAGATAACTATGAGAGGCAGGACAATACGGGTAGACGTGATGTGTTACTAGAATGTTTGGTTGACGTAGTTGATAATGGTGCGGACGTCAACAAGTTGGCTTTAGTGAAAGAGACACCTATACGTAGAGATACCAGAAAAGGGTTGTATGAAGCTGTGTTATATATGTTAGAATATGGGTTTAATAAACGTTATGTTGATGAGCGCCATAACAATCTACTACACATACTTTTAGATAGCTATGAGAGCCATGACGGTACAGGTAAACGTGATATGTTACTACAATGTTTGGTTAAGGTAGTTGATACTGGTGTGGACGTCAACCAGTTGAATGCAGTGAAAGAGACACCTATATGTAGAGCTGCCATAAAAGGGTTGTATGAAGTTGTGTTATATATGTTAGAACATGGGTTTAATAAACATTATGTTGATGAGCGCCATAAAAATGTGTTACACATAGTTTTGGATAGCTATAACAGACATGGCAATACAGGTAGACATGATTTGTTATTAAAATGTGTAGTTAAAATAGTTGATGCAGGTGTAGACGTAAACAAGTTGGATGCACATAAATATACACCTATATTAATAGCCGTAGGAGGAGGGTTGTATGAGGCTGGGATATATCTGTTAGAACACGGTGTTGATGTACATTATGTTGATATATATAAATGCAACATCCTTCACTATGTTTTATGTTTTATGTATCCTTGCCTAAAATATGAAGAGAAATATATACAGCTCGTTAATACCTTAATTAACCTGGGAATAAATGTAAACCAACCTAACTATGAAGGTAACACCCCGTTGTTCTATTTCCATGTAAACGGACCTCCCCTTGACGATAAGCCCCCGTTCCATATGTCTAAACTTTACGGAATAAAATTCAAACTACAGAGAGGAAAGGACACACATGTTCAATTGAAATGTAAGTTGATTAACAGTTTATTAGGAGCCGATTGTAATGTAAACCATCGAAACAAGAAGGGCCGAACGGCTTTAATGCATCATTTAGAACAACAAGCTGATGCCAGTATATTGAAACTGTTGATTCAACATTCTGATCTAAGTTTGGCTGATATTTATGGTTATACAGCTTTATGTTATTGTGTTCAATATCACATGATTAATTCTACAAACATCTTTAAACTTTTTGTAGATTCGGGTTCAGATCTGATATCACCTAACAACGGAGTTAAGTTATATCATAAGATTTTGAATTGTAAGAGATTAGAGTTGTTCAATTACTATATTGGGCGAAGGTTGATTGTTAAAGGTCTTACAGCTGAAGGAGAAAATATGCTCCATCTTTTAGCTGGTGTTAACTATGATTATTCCCTAAACAAGTTTAAATGGTTGTTAAATAACGAACTAGACATCAACCATCAATGTTCTAAAACCAACACACCTACTATGATAGCTGCCTTTTTATTAAACAGTAAATATTTAGAACTGTTGACACTTCATCCTAGACTAGAGATCAATGCACAGAATAACCAGGGCCATACAGCCCTTCATCTATGCATCCTTGGATTTACTATGTTTAAAGATGGTTTGAACAAGAGACAGGTAAATGATGTTGTTAAGAATTATTGTAGACAGATATATCCAATATACATGGCCTGTATTGATATTTTACTTGGTGTTGATGGAATAGATGTAAATATTCCTGATAATGTCGGTAGAACTAGTTTAATGATGGCTGCAATGAAAAACGACAGAGTTCTTATAAGGAAACTACTCCAAGCTGGTGCCATAGTTACCATGTTAGACTATTCGGGAAGATCTGCTCTACAATATCTTAATATTTATCATAGTGTATTTGATTTGACTTGTTTTAAATTACTTCTATCTAATGGTAATACTGGTCTTCTCAATTTACCCTGTCTGGGTGGTAACACGATTATCCAAACGGTCTTATGTTTCCCCTTCTTCTGGGAACCACGTCACGTCATTTGTTTCATTAGATATCTAATTGCTGAAAACTGTTGTATTAAGAATCTCGTAACATCTTCAGCTAAAAGTAACTATAACCAATTTGATCTTATTGAGTTAAGTCTTCCAGAAAGAGATAAACTGAGGAAACTGTTATATCTTAGTGGCGCCGAAGGGCATGAAATAATGACAACATTAAATTTGGATGAGGAAAATAAACCATATGAAGAAGACAAAGGCACCTTTCACTCGCGGGGCACAGAAAAATTTATTAGATTCTGTAGTAATATATCTCTCATGTCCATGTGTAGAAGAATCATTAGACAGAAGTTGGGATTGGGAATAAAGGAACAGGTTAATGATCTAGAATTACCATATGGATTAAATGATTTTCTTCTACTAAAAGATGTTCTTCATCCACAAGATTACTACATAGATAATATTGATGATGGTTGTAATGATTTTGATGATGATGATGATTATGATGGTTATGATATAGATAGAGATAGAGATTTTGGATATAGGCAATATAACTACCAGTATTTTACTCTCAATACAGATTATGAACTAAGACAAGATTTCCTAAAAACCCAGAAATTTCCTAATGGTGAACAGGTGGTGATTTCGTAGAAACCAGGATATTTCGTCTGTATCTGAATATGTTGTCGCCCGTTCATATTTCCGAGTACACGCTAAAGCGCGAATTGTTTTTAAAGTCACCATAATGTTGATTTCATGTAGAAATTACTGCATAGAGCAATACACTATAACTAATGAAAGCAGTTATTTATTTATTTTTGTTTTTTTGAGGGGTGGGGGAGTTTTGAAGGGTTTTCTACATATTTGTGTATTACTGTATCATCTTGATGTCCAAATAGATAAGTATGTGTGTTTCAGTTCATTAATATATTGTTGATTAATGTAATGTATGACAGCTGTTATAGCAGATTTATACACAGTATAACTAACTATATAATACAGTATTAAAAAGAAACAATATGTGTATTGAAACCATTTGTTTATATACAAATAAATTATATTATAATAACATCGTAAATAATATTCCTGTATGTAAATTATGGTCTAATATATAGTATTATAGTATAGTAATGGATATACATATGCACTATATACCTAATATTCTTGTATGTAAATTATAGTATAGTAACATCTACCTTGTAATGGATGCAATGTATACCTAATGCATGTTTGTATGTCTATATACACAAAGTAACGTCTTGTATGTATATTTATACTAACTAACATAACCAAAAGGGGATTGGTTGTATTTCAATTCTAGTATATAAGCATCTACCTTGTAATGGATACACTATATACATAATCTAATATATATGTTATGCTTGTATGTACATTATGATAAGGGAGTAGACATAGCAGCTGAAATAAACCAGAATTATGCTTAAATTGACACTGATTAACAACACGTCATAACGATATACATAGCAACCGCTAGAATCCTAGGCATCACGTAGTTTTTTTGGTTATTTTGGGATGTTTAAGCACGAATTGTTCTTGTCAGACAAAGAACTAGCAACAAAATTGTGTTGAGGGTCTGAAACTGACATGACTGACCACATGTATATATGTTACCCGCTGATAATTCAGACCACTACTATTCGAGTGTGTCGTGTTATTTGTTTATATATATATTTACTAAATATTCCATGAGTTTCATGTACATATTATTTCTATGATAGTATCAATCGGATCTGTTGTCGGATCAAATGTTACCACCTTGGTGTTGTTATACGCCCACATTTTCATGTGGACGTATTATGCCGTCGCCCCTGTCCGTCCGTTCGTCCGTCCACAATGTTTGTGGACTCTCTACAGGTCACAATTGTTATCCGATTTTGACGAAACTTAAAAATATAGGTTTATCCCCAAAAGATCTCGGCTGCTTTCGATATTGGCATGTATCGGAGCGAAACTTCATGGATTATGGCCCCTGATTGTACGAAAAATCACGTTTTTAGGCTTGTGGACCCTATAGAGGTCACAATGTTGAACCGATATTGATGAAACTTGACATGCGTGTTTATAACCCAAAGATCTTGGTTCCTATCGATATTTGCCCATATCAAATTGTAACTTAATGAATTATTGCCTTTGATTGTAGGAAAAATCAATTTCAGTATTAATTGTTCTCTATCCATCTCTCGAAAATGTGGGCGTATCCTGCCTGGCAGTGCCAGTCTATCTTTTTGTTTTTGTTTTCAAATTGAGTTATTATCTGTTTATCCGCAATCGAAAAGGACCTGGTCACGGAGTCGCGATCGACGTTGCGATGCTTTGGTTGTAGAAGGGCGGCCAGCTCGCGCTAGGAACCGATTTGCAGTTTGATGACGAAGTTTGAAGTTTACATAATAAAATAAGTTCTTTTATAATTCTAAATAATAGCATGTTACAATGCCAATAAACACGTCCTGTTTCGCATTTAGAGGGGTATTTTTCATTATAACCCGCGTCTTGGGTTCTAATGCACAACAACACCTCTCTAAATGCAAAATAGGAAGTGTTTATATCCTAAATGGTTAAACTATATACCTGATGTATGTATGTAAATTATAATAACAGCTACCTTGTAATGGATACATTATACTATATACCTAGTGTACGTGTGCGTAAATTTAAGAATAATAATTTTTAATTATATGTAAATTGTGATAATAACATCTACCTTGTAAAGTCACTGCATGATTTATTGTAATGGATACAATGTATACATATTGTCTGTTGTCTATTGTAATGGATACAATGTATATCTATTGTCTGTTGTCTATTGTAATGGATACAAGGTATATATATTGTCTATTGTAATGGATACAAGCTATATCTATTGTCTATTGTAATGGATACAATGTATACCTATTATCTATTGTCTATTGTAATGGATACAGTGTATATCTATTGTATGTCTAGATTAAAGAATAGAAAGTTGTAATTGTATTTGTTTATATATATATAAATTCTAGTTCTATATATCTGATCTATGTATGTATATTAAAGAATAGAAACGTCTATTGTTGGTTTTCCCGCAAATTATAGTATATAAACATCTACCTTGTAATGCATGTATGTAAATTAAAACAATAGAAAGTTTGAATTGTGTTTGTTTATAATTTTAGTTTCTATATACCTGATCTATGTATGTAAATTAAAGAACAGAAACGTCTATGGTTGACGTCCAGTAAACACATTGACCAATTGACAAGTGTGACAAGCCAAGAATTCCAACTACATGACTCTATGGACCAGCTAGGGAAAGGAAATAGTCTAGCACTCTAGCCCAGATTGTCTCCCCTTCAACTAACACGAATATTGATCTGGACAAAATGCCGTCAAATTTGTATTTAGTATTAAAGGTCATATGGTGATTCTTGTTCGTCTTGATTACTATTCTTTTTTAAGATATGCAAAATAGGCCTTGATTTCACTTAAGTCAGATTCCGCATAAACCCAACCACAGCGCCGACTTGGGGGGCACTCAGAGTTCTTTCTCCTGACCTCAGTAATTATTATTTCGAAATATCCAACCACTCCTTCTAATTTATCTGTCTACAGTCCTGTTTACTATGATCATGTGTGTAATGGTGGAGGGGGGTATTGTAATCTATGTTTACTATGGTCATGTGTGCATTGGTAGGGGGCCAAGGGATAATGTAAACTATGTTTACTATGGTCATGTGTGCAATGGTAGGGGGCGGGAAGATAATGTAAACTATGTTTACTATGGTCATGTGTGCAATGGTAGGGGGCCGGGGGATAATGTAAACACAGTTTACTATGGTCATGTGTGTAATGGTAGAGGGTGGTGGTAACGTATAATACAGTATACGGTTTAGGAACTGTTTTAATTCTCAGTATAAACATTGGCAATTTTGAAAACGAAGACACCAAGGCCAGTACTAAGGCGGCACCTTCCAACACATGCCTATGAACACATGCCAACTGTGTACATTTTAAGAGAGCGACCATATAAGGGAAGAAACTGCGTTGTCATTTGAGTAATATAAAATCTGAATAGCCTAATTACTAAAACAACGACGACTACTTTCACCTACAATAAGAATTTGAATGACATTTTAAATAATAATTATCCATTTTACATTATCTTTATGTGAACTATTATATCAGATCAGGTCTTTATCTAAATCTTACATACTGTATCTTTAATAACATACAGTGTTTAATTATAGTTGCGCGTGAATGCGTGATCCGATTAAAGTTCTAGTCTGCGTGTTTACTACACACCGTGTTGATAATTGCCGTCAAATATATGATTTAGTTATTTCGCTTGAAGTCGTAGTGTAAAACCCATCCTCGATATCCCAGTGGTATCATTCTGTGTTTGTTGTATAGAACGAAACAATATCGCTTGGGATGCCGATAAGGTCTAAAACCGAAAAACGAAGATGAGAATTAAGGGATTAAATCTAACAATAGGATTAGTAGGTACGGTTAATCCGGTTATAACCATTTATCTCTGACCAGAAAGAAAGGCAACTAGTTTTAAGGAGTAACAATTACTCCTGTATTAAATACAAATAGGTTATTTATATTATATAAGTAATATAAGAAAAGGTTACACAGCATAGTGACGCACACATGTGCTTCAATAATAATATAAAAGAAAAGGGGGTGGGTGGGGTCTAACACGTGGCTTTGAAGTCGTAAGGTCTGTTACTGCGTCAAGTTGTCTGGATTTGAACTCACACTTGTACGTGACAAAGATTAGGGTCGCCTCCCGAACTTCGTGGGTCTTCTTCGGATCAAATTGATTTCCTACAACTACCAAGACAGCGTTAATGGGACAAGAAAGGCCAGGGATAAAGTCTATGTAAATTAATTATGGTCTGTAGCCCCTAATGGAGGCAGACCACCATTAAATTGTAGTTCGTCTATTTATAGCAATTCTCTCTCTGTCTCTTTTCTCCCCTTATGCATGCCCATTTTTGTTTCAGTTTTGGTCTAGAATGGACGAAGAGGGTTTGAATTTCTGCCAGGTCTTGGTAAATATTCATGATTTTGATACGTAAGCATAACGGGGTTACCAGGTTGGCTACGGTGATATGTACGGCAAATAGTTACATGTTTTTAGTATGCCTCTTCAAGTTTGTGTGTCTCAAAATTTGGGTGGTCAACCTCATAAAATTTTTAGTGGAAAGACATGACCATTTGTTCCTCTGTCTGTAGTGAAAAGCAATCAGCACAACGAAAATTTGGGGAAAAATTGGAGGTGTGCAAAAAGACCAGAATTAACATTGAAGTCAATGGGGAAATTAATGGTGGTCTGTATCCTAATGATAACTGTAGTTATCTCCCTGTACCATTGTGTAACACAGATATCACCCATCTGTTTCACAGAGGATTACGAAAGTCTTCTAATATCTCTGTAAAAGATGACTGCCTTCAACACGTGACATCACAACACGCGACGTCAATCATTGGCTGAATGGCGCGTGCATTGTTTACATAAGACGTTACTGAATCCGTCTTCTTCCAACAACACGGACATTCGTAGGCGTTTTTGTGAATCGGCACTCGGGTCTCGGGAGCATTTCTTACAACATACCATCCGCCTTCTTGCCCAGCTGTTTACATCGGTCGTTGTAACCAAGCCAGTGGTCTCCAACCTTTTGTGTTCCTTGCCGCACCTAAACATCGCACTGTGGCCTACTCTTATAACTGTCCAGGGCTCTTTTACGTGCACGCCAATGTGTATACTGGACCTCGGTTTTTCGTACCATCAGAACGACTAGACGACTCTCCTTGTTAGGCCCTTCGTCCTGCACCACTGACAAGGGGAAACCACGTCGGAAAATCCCGATAAATGTTTTGGCCAATACAGGGATTGAACACCCGACCTCCAGGTTAGCGAACCAGCGTCTTACCCACCTTGGCTCCCTAATATGGTTAAAACTCGAAGAAATAAATAAATTCATCTCAGTACACAAACTAAAGTAATTATACTCAGATTTAATTATAATAACACATAGTATAGTAACAACAGCGGATAAAGGATTCAAGAGGGATTAATATATGTTAAATTAAGAATAGGCCCACCTGAAAATAAAAATCCAGGAAGGAATCATAGGAACTGGAGGTAGAAACGTGTAGGAAATATATAATGCAGTGTAATGTTATCAGACTAGCCAACAGTACAATTACTATAAGGTGGGTTTATAATGCAGTATAATTTCTATAAGGTAGGGTTTAATACAATACAATTACTATAAGGTGGGGTTATAATACCATACAATTACTATAAGGTGGGATTTTAATACCATACAATTACTATAAGGTGGGATTTTAATACAATACAAATACAATAAGGCGGAGTTTAATACAATACAATTACTATAAGGTGGGGTTATAATACCATACAATTACTATAAGGTGGGATTTTAATACCATACAATTACTATAAGGTGGGATTTTAATACAATACAATTACAATAAGGCGGAGTTTAATACAATACAATTACTATAAGGTAAGTTTTTAATACAATACAATTACTATAAGGTGGGATTTTAATACAATACAATTACAATAAGGCGGAGTTTAATACAATACAATTACTATAAGGTAAGTTTTTAATACAATACAATTACTATACGGTGGGGTTATAATACAATGCAATTACTATAAGGTGGGGTTATAATACCATACAATTACTATAAGGTAGGGTTTTATTACAATACAATTACTGTAAGGAAATGTTTTAATACAATACAATTTCTATAAGGTAGGGTTTAATACAATACAATTACTAAAAGATGGGTTTATAATGGAGTATAATTACTATATGGTGGGGTCATAATACAATACAATTACTATAAGGTAGGGTTTAATACAATACAATTACTATAAGGTAAGGTTTAATACAATACAATGACTATAATACAATATAATTACTATAAGGTAAGGTTTTAATACAGTGCAATTACTATAAGGTAAGGTTTTAATACAGTGCAATTACTATAAGGTAAGGTTTTAATACAGTGCAATTACTATAAGGTAAGGTTTTAATACAGTGCAATTACTATAAGGTAAAGTTTTAATACAGTGCAATTACTATAAGGTAAGGTTTTAATACAGTACAATTACTATAAGGTAAGGTTTTAATACAGTGCAATTACTATAAGGCGGGGTTTTAATACAGTGCAATTACTATAAGGTAAGGTGTGAATACAGTACAATTACTATAAGGTGAGATTTTAATACAATACAATTACTATAAGGTAGGGTTATAATACAATACAATTACTATAAGGTGTGGTTATAATACAGTTCAATTACTATAAGATAGGGTTTAATACAGTGCAATTACTATAACTAAATGTATTTATCTACATCAAGTTTCCTGTCACTTCCAATTCACAAACATCTAAATATATGTTATCTTTAGTTACTCTGACGTAACGTCCTATAGTGACGTCATCACATTCAAATGTCCGAGAAGTCATACCGAATATTCCCGGTATGAATTTACAGATGATAGGCGTGGTTGTTGGAGTAGTTGGATCAGACTTATAAACCATTATACTTGTATCAACCATTCTGTTATAAATATCTGTGAAATACATAGTAGACATAACAAATTAACAGAACACAATTTTTATGGGAAAAAATCACTGGTTTATTCTAAAAGCACAAAGTTTCGACAAGTATCTTCTTATCGTTATCGTGCGTAGGGTCGCCTGTTCAACCTCGTGGGTTTTCTCCGGGTCCTCCGGTTTCCTCCCACTGCTAAAGACCCCTACGCGCAAGCGAATTATTGAAATAAAATTAAACCATATGTTAGTCCCGAAATGACCTGGTTTGTGTCGAGTGGACGTTAAACCCCATTTCTCTCTACTCTCCCCCTCTCTCTCTCTCTCTCTCTCTCTCTACTCTCTCTCTCTCTCTTTCTCTCTCTCTCTCTCTATGTCTCTCTCTCTCTCTCTCTGTCTCTCTTATCGTTATCAAGCACAATGACATTTAGTAAACTTAGGATGAATATATAGATGTTGCATGGTGAGGCCAAGGGATCTTTTACGTGCACACCTCGATTTTTCGTCCCATCCGAAAGACTAGACAGCTGTCCTTGTCAGGCCCTCCGTTCTGCATCACTGACAAGGGGGAACCACGCCGGAAAATCTGGATGAAATTTCTCGGCCAATGTAGGGATCGAACACCCGACCTCCAGGCTAACGAGCCAGCGTCTTACCCACTTAGCCACAGTAATTTGATAACGGTTTGAGGACACAGAACTATTATGATGAACTTACATTCTCGATGATCTCTACGATTCACTATGGTAACACTAGTAATGTTATATATATGTTCAAGATCAACTTGTAACCATGGGTTATCATCGTTACCGCCAGTATGGCTGCAGCTTAACTCGTGTGAATCGCCATTTCTATTACCATCGACAGCCAGTGATGATGACCACAACCCATTTGGATTTTCTAAAGTTGAACTTTGTAGAGTAGGTTTACGCAAGGCAATATTCGGTCCATCTGAAATTATAGATATTGATATATTGCATAATCTATGAAACCTTTACTAGACGAGAGAGAGAGAGAGAGAGAGAGAGAGAGAGGTAGAGAGAGAGAGAGAGAGGTAGAGAGAGAGAGAGAGAGAGAGAGAGATGCGGTTTAACGTCCACTCGAGACAAACTAGGTCAATTCGGGACTAACACATGGTTCAATTTTATTTCAATAATTTGCTTGCGCGTAGGGGTCTTTAGCCGTTGGGGGAAACCGGGGGACCCGGAGAAAACCCATGGGACTGGGTCGGCGATCCTACTCCTTGGCACGTACAACCGGGGAATCAAAACCACGCCGGTTGACTCGGGTCTTTAGCATTGGGAGGAAACCGGGGGACCCGGATAAAACCGGGGAATCAAAACCACGCCAGATGACTCAGTGACAGACCTTATGACACAGCGCGCACGCGCTAACCATTCGGCCACCCAACCCACCCTTTTAGTAGACGAAAATGGGTCGAATTTAAAGGCTACTTTAACAAAAGCTGTTTGCCGAGCCTAGTCTTATGTTTATGTATAACAGATAAGATGGGTATGGACAATAAGCATTGAACCTAAAGGATAGTCTGTTGCAATGTCTATCAATTTAAACAAAATTTGCAAATTAGGGTTGCAGCTCGTGAATTTCTGATTTTCGATATTTCTCATAAAGGTGATTGTAGAAAACTATGTCTATACGTTCGGTTGAGACGACAAACCGCGGTTCGGTGTAAAACTTGAAAGGGTACATGAGGTAGTTGGAAGTCCAAGCAGGGTACGTGTTGATTGGCAGTTGTCTAGGCACAACTCCTCACGTGACACACTTTATTAATCAAATACAAATTACTGTAAATTTCTCGTTAAATGATGTACTTCCATTCTTGTCTAGCAATACCACCTTCGTCAGAACGTCTCCATAACTGTAAATGCTCTAGACAGAAAACCAAAATTATCCCATGTTTCACAAACAGGGCCTGTCTGTGTTCACAGATGTGAGAAATAGTTTTGAAACCAAGGGGGTATTTACAGTTGTGATAAAACAGAAAATGATACGAATCGACCCTATAATTATAATATTAAATGGATAAAAACCGGTGACATAATTTCCTAACTTACTTGGAAGTCTCTTACATCCGTTCACATTATACGTGTTCTGCTGACCAGATAAGTTGTCCACTAAAAGATAAAATAATCGTTATTTTGAAGTGGAAATTGTACACGGTGTATGAACAAAAACAGTCGGATAATAAATAAGAGCAAGTGTTTATAAATATATTTATAAATAAGAGAAAATGTTTATTGATATTGTAGTTAAATTATATCAAATAGAGAAACTCCTACAAGTCTTTTTTGATATCAAAAAATATCAACACAAGTTGATAAAGTAACAAAAAACGAGGCTCTGCCGATTGTTTTTGACTTTATCAACGAGTGTCGATATTTTTTGACATCAAGAAATACGAGTAGGAGATTTTATTTATCACCCAATCCTTTCTTACGTGCACAAATAAATAAATATAATTCTTTGCTATAGACTCCACTTTTACTGAACCTGATTACATTACGGCGTAGTGATACATCATTTTTTGACAGCAATTCAACCATTGCAAAGTCCTTTATTCAATTAAATAAAAATAATTCATTTTTTTTTTTAAAAAAAAAGGAGTTTCTTTTAATAAAAAATGAACTGTTCTTTGAAACTACAAAAAGGTAGTACTTTTTTAACTGACCAATCAAATTCATGTAAAGCAGTAGATTATGAAATTTATCACACAAGCGATATCTACTGTAGGATGTATTATTGGGTGATAAACATGTATAACACTATTGGGGGCGATAGGTTATTCAATCCATGTGTAATTGCTGGAGACAGAGCATTCATGCGTATCGGGGATTATGTGTAGTATAAAGCACGAGACTGAGGTTATGCTGTGGAAAGAAAGACTGAAGAAAATAACCCGAGAAAAAGAAAAACCGAGGCCGGCACATGTTTTCCGAGTTTTGCCTGTCAGATAAGTAAAATAGTAAAGTCCAAACAACGTGAAGTCCGTAGAGAAGTCCAAAGTGACGAAGGGAAATGAAATGAAATAAAATCGGGTTTAACGTCCTACTGTTCTGCTCCGAACTGGGCTAATGAAGTCGGGCATACGCCATAGAGTGTGCTATGAGGTAAATTTTGACCGAACAGCGGCACTACGGCCTAGGCCTACTCTTATATCGAATTCCAACTGTAAAGGGATCTTTTACGTGCATGCCAATGTGTACACGGGACCTCGGTTTCTCGTCCCATCCGAACGACTAGACAGCTGTCCTTGTCAGGTCCTCCTACCTATACCACTGACAAGGATCTTTTACGTGCACGTCAATGTATACACGGGACCTCGGGTTTTCGTCCCATGCGAATGACTAAACAACGCTCCTTGTCAGGTACTCCGTCCTACACCACCGACGGAAAATCTGGATGAACTTTCTCGGACAATGCAGGGATCGAACACCCGACCTCCATGCTAGCGAGCCAGCGTCTTACCTACTTAGCCACCGTGATCCCCAAAGTGACGAAGGACACCGCATAGTATCATAATAATTGTTCGACGACGTGACACACTGCCGCCCAAAACGGGTCAATAGTGTCACATCTTGTGGTTTGTTTTTAGTGACATACAAACCACATAACTTATCCATTAAGTGACTGATCATTCATGTCGTTTTAAACACTTTTTTGTGGATCATTATTACTTCTTTATTTTCCCTCCCCCTTGTCAGTGGTGCAGAACGGAGGGCTTGACAAGGACAGCTGTCTAGTCATTCGGATGAGACGAAAAACCGAGGTCCCGTGTATACATTGGAATGTACGTAAAAGATCCCCTGGCAGTTGAAATTCGATATAAGAGTAGGTCGTAGTGCCGCTGCCCGGGCAAAATTTCCCTCATAGCACACTGTATGGCGTATGCCCGTCTTCATTAGCCCAGTATAGGAGCAGAACAGTAGGACGTTAAACCCCATTTCATTTCAAACGGGCAAAACCAAATTGATTTTGTCCATTGAGCGATTGAGCATTCATATATGTTTTAAGCGCTTTTTTGTGAAGCATTATTTTCTCATTATTTCCCTTCTAACAGGCCAAACCAAAATGATTTTGTAGCTGGAATTAAAAAATAATTTCATGGCTATTTTGCTTGTTTCAATGATGTTGAATATATCTATAAAAATAATGTTACCCACCTTTATGACCGGTTATCTCAACTTCACATAAAGTCATAAACTCTGATTTCTCAATAAAAATTTTAACAAATCGCCCCATAACCCCATGTTGACATTCGATTAGGGTTGGTCCGGTTGGTAGAAGTCCAGGTATGAAGCCACAACAGTTAGGAGTATCTACTCCAGTATACATCAAAGGGTTATAGTTGTACAGTTCGATGTTCACATCATGTAAACGTTCAGCTAAAAAAAATATTATAGAGATTATGAATGTAATGGAGGTTAACGTCCTACTGTTCTGCTCCTAAACTGGGCTAAGGAAGACGGGCATACGCCATACAGTGTGCTATGTGGGAAATTTTGCCCGGGAAGTGGCGCTACGGCCTACTCTTATATCGAATTCCAACTGCCAAGGGTTCTTTTACGTGCACACCAATGTATATACGGGACCTCGGTTTTTCGTCCCATCCGAACGACTAGACAGCTGCCCTTGTCAGGCCCTCCGTCCTGCATCACTGACAAGGGAAAACCAAGCCGGAAAATCCGGATGAACTTTCCCGGCCAATGCAGGGATTGAACACCCGACTTCCAGGCTAACGAGCCAGCGTCTTACCCACTTAGCCACGTGATCCCCTATAGAGATTATAAGGTCTGGTGGTATTGAGTCCAGAGTGGCGTAGTTTTGATTTCCAGCTTGTATGAGACAAGGATCAGGGTCGCCTGTTCGACTTTCATGGGATTACTTCATGGGCACCCGTTCTCTCCCATTTTACGCGCAATTGAACTATTGAAATAATATTGAGCCATGTTAGTCCCAAAATGACCTAGGTTGTACTCTCTCTCTCTCTCTCTCTCTCTCTCTCTCTCTCTCCCATATCTTCGTTAAACGTTGGGGGGCTGGATGGCCGAATGGTTAGCACGTGTGCGCTGTATCATAAGGTCTGTCATTGAGTCAACTGACGTGTTTGTGCGTGACAAGGAGTAGGGTCGCCCGAACCATGTGTTAGTCCCGAAATGACCTAGTTTGTGTTGGGTGGACGTTAAAACTCTCTTTCGCTCTCTCTCTCTCTCTCTCTCTCTCTCTCTCTCTCTCTCTCCTCTGTGTCATAAAATAATTAAAATAATTAAAATAATTAAATATCCGTGGATAAAATCATCATTATAAAAATCACAGATTCTTGCGGGACAATTATAATTATTTGTCATTCAGGCGTGATCATTCTACAAACACACTCTTTTGAATAGTTAATCTAATTAAAAGTTAACGAAGCTATGTTGTTGACTTCGTTAAGAACGATTTGAATGAAATAAGTCAACTGTAACATTATAAACATTAACAATGCATTGTTTACTTGTGGTATCCATACCAACACGTCAGAACAAATCTATACTAATATTTGTGTCTGTCGTTTGTCTGTCTGTTCGGGGTTGGCGGCTGCACTAGGTCTGCCCCGAGTCTGAAATTTGGGGTATAGGGGTAGCTCGGACCGGGGAGTAACATAGGCCAGGTGGCGTTAGTCTACCACTTCCGGTTTCGGGGTTATGACCCCCGAGCGAATCCGGGCATTCTTTTAGTAAATAATAAATGTAGAGTTTAAATGATATCACATAAACTGGCGTAGTATATAAGCACAACGTTTCGGTAGATATCCTCATAATGGTATACAGCAAAAAGACATTAGGTCGACTTGTAAACAATACGAGGATACTAATGTGTGTGAAATTGCTTTATTTAACGTCCGCTTTCACCGAGGTGTTATCGCAGACAAGAGATGCTAATGAGAAAGTCGTTCTTATGTAGCAAACAAGTAAGTGTGTCAATGTCCTGTTCGTTCGTTTGTTCCTATAGCCTTGTGTTCAGCTCGAACTGAATCCGTCCATTCTATGCTATATCTTGGTGATATCCGCGTGATGACTAGATTATACGATTTATTTCTTTAAAGCACAAACAATATTGTTAGCACATGATGAAAAACAGAATTACCAGCGATCCTGTAATACTTATCTGATTCTTAAAGCAAGGACCTAGCAGAGAATATGAGAGCTAACCCTCGGAAAACAAGGGTATTCCTTATAGCAATTTACAGAGAGAGAAATGGGGTTTAACGTCCACTCGACACAAACTATGTCATTTCGGGACTAACATATGGTTTAATTTTATTTCAATAATTCTCTTGTGCGTAGGGGTCTTTAGCAGTGGGAGGAAACCGGAGGACCCGGAGAAAACCCACGAGGTTGGACAGGCGACCCTACTCCTTGTCACGTACAACCGGGGATTCGAAACCACGCCAGTTGACTCAATGACAGGTCGTATGATACAGCACACACGTGCTAACCATTCGGCCACCCATCCCCCCTAGCAATTTACAGGCCGGGTGATTTTTTTATAGGTTTGTTTAAAAACCAATATCTCTTTTATTTACTTTTGATTTTAATTCTGTTTTAAAGGAGCTAAATCGCTAACATTTGGGACCTAGAAATTGACAAAAGTGGGTCGCAACGCATATAATACTGTAATATGAATGTATATAAACTGATTTACATTCAATGGTTTCCGTTTTACTCCAATTTCAAATCAATTATGTTCGGCGAAATAAGCCAGCAGTCTCAAGCGAGTGCAAATTTCTAGCGTCTGGTTATTCCAGTCTACATGCGCCGTTTGATTTGGTGCAATGTGTCTAGCCTCTTCCCTCGAGTCTCTTGATACAACTGGGGCTGAAGCGCATTATGGTACATGATTCGTGTACCAATGGTAAAATGTTTATTTTATCTTAAATATTGGATATCAAAAGCCCATCTTTTTCCGGTAAGATCACAACATGAAAGTTGATTTAATTTGACAAATAAATCGTGTTTTCAATGTTGTAGATTTTGGATGATATTGAGTTAGAGACTTAGCTACTTTAAACCAGTTTAGTTGTAAATAATATAATGTTTTACTCACGGTAATTATCTGAATCGAGGGTATTATGTAAGGTGACATATAATACATGATATATATCGGATAAATCCACCATTAAGTATGGACTGAAATCACCCTCTCTTGTTATGAAACATGTAGACATGGTGTCACCATCAACAGCCAAACTACTTTCAAATCTTCCATTCATAGAACTCTTATAAGTCGGCTTCTGGTAGGCTATGTTGTAACCTGAAAAACATATTTAAGCGTTCGATCATACTCATACAGAAGAGAGAGAGAGAGAGAGAGAGAGAGGGAGAGAGGGGGGGGGATAACGTTCACTCGACACAAACGAAGTCATTTTGGGATTAACATATGGTTCAATTTCATTTTTTTATTTCAACAATTCGATTGCGATTGGGAGGAAATCGGGGGACCCGGAGAAACCCCACGATGGTAGACAGGCGACCCTACTCCTTGCCACGTACAACCGGGGAATCGAAACCTCGTGAGATGACCCAATGACAAACCTTATCATACAGCACAAACGCGCTAACCATTCGCCCCCCCCCACCAAAGGCCTAAATAAACTAACTCGGTTATCAAGGCGTATATTTGGGAATATATTTAACAACCCAGACGGTTTGTCGGCGCCGAACTACTCCTTTATATATCAATAATTTTATTGAACCTCGCCACGGGACTATTAAAATAGGTCCGTCTATTCTCCCGTCTCTCCGTCGGTCGGTCCGTCTGGCTGTCTATCTGTCACACTTGGGACTCTCCTTCTAAATGAGCTAGAATGTTCAAACTTAGTGTAGGTGTTTATTAGGATAATGTCTTTACTGAGTTCAATGGTTAACATTTTCCTCTACAGCTAAACAGAGCTAAGCAATTTCATTGGTAGATGTTTTGGGACAAGATAACTTTTAGTCTTACTTATGGAGAGTGGTGAAACTGAGTTCGATCGTTAACATTGTCTGTTTAGACTAACTATAGATAATGATTTTGATTAATCAGGCCCGTAACTAGGGGTCGGGGGGGGGGGGTGTCTTTGCAAAAAGTTTCGCCCCTGCTGTGAAAAGATTTTCGACCATACAAAAAATAGATATACATTGTCCGTCAATATTACAGCACCCCCGAGAACACTTCCCGCCCCCTTCGTTGCTCTGAGCTAGTTACGGCCCTGGTAATATAACTAGAAGCCAGTGAAGCTCGTGCAATACTGGAGTTATATGATTCCCTTTCCTGGTGCCTTTGATCAACCGTGCTGCAGCATTCTGAAGATGTTGAAGCTTTGGTAGGTGGCAGTCTGGTAGGTGGCAGTCTGCAACGCCGGAAAGGACGGCGTTGTGGTAGTCGAGTTTAGACTAGTCTCGGTCACCCAGAACCTCCTAGTCTTAAACATACGGAGGGTCTGGGAAGGTTGTCAATATTTGACGTAAAGTCCATTGCCCATGCGTAACCGGGAGTTTGGTTTTTAATGTGGTTGATTATCCAGTCTCTTTAGCGAAGTCAAGTAAGAGTTGCGCCCCTTCCCACAATAAATCCCATAATTCTTGCATTAATATAAACAAACATGAATCGTGACGACGAATTAGGATTAATTTTAAAAGCATAGATATGGCCCATGAAGAGAGAAATTTTACAATAAAAATTTAAGTGTGTTAGATATTGAACTCGCATGCAATCAAATGGATTTTTTGAAATGACATTCTTATATTAATTTCATGGGCGTAAACATCTTGTTTTAAGAGGAGTTACCTCCCTTAGACATTGTTTATGATAATGTGAAAGACCGGATTATCTAGCCAATTTTTCTCAAATGTTGACAACCGGTCCATATTTTTCTGGATGATAGAGACTAAGTTTAGACATGACTAGGGATTGAACGAGTGGCTTCAGATTATCGGTAAATAGGAACTGTTTAATATTATCCAGTTGATGTAATTTAAAGAATGCAGTGTACTAAGTATTGGACGTTAAATTTGTAATAAACAACAAACAATGCCATTGTTGACGATAGACTATCTGACAGTAGCGCACATGTAGACGAAACACAGACTAATGATTCCAGTGTATGGTGTGACGAGACACTTAATTCCAGATCAATTATAGGATATACACAAAATTACTTTTAATAATTAGCTCTGAGTGGTGTTCAAAGTAACAAACTCATTCAATCTCTGTTTAATCCCGACATTGCTAAAACTCCAGTTTAGAAATTAATAGGCTATCATATCTGAATTTGGTTAGAGTACATGTAAGTGACCTTGTGGAGAGGTTAACAATGAATATTATTCCAGAATACT